ATGGACTTCCTACCAATATGACCAAGTTGCGAATACAAGGTCAAACAACTTCTTACTATGTTTACCTTGAATATGTACCTTAACTTTTGTATCTGTTGTTTATAAAATCTTTTTTGATTTTCTCCCAGGTGAGCACCTCGGAAAATGGGATGTTAACCAACACTTTCATGAGGAAGCCCTCTTCACGATGGTATCCTATTGTGAAAACCAGCTTGATTGCCGGCGAACCCAAATGCTAGCCCATTTTGGCGAGGCTTTTGATGCGGCTCATTGCTGCCTGATTGTTGGCTGTCTTTGTGATAACTGCCAACTAGCTGATCGGCGTCGGTTAGCACAACGAGACGTCACTGAAGACGCTAAGCTCGTAGTCTCCGCTGTGCAGCACTTTTTCAATTCCCGGCGTAATGTCACCATCAACTATTGCATCGAACTATTTAGAGGTAAGCTCAACCTAGTTTGAAAGTCTGAATTAACCTATAATTTTCTTTCAAGAGTAAATGCGATTTAAAAATCATTTAAAGTTTTAATAAATATATATGCTACTTTGTTATTATTAAATTCAATCACCTATTTCCTAATATTTATGTGAAACTTGTACATATATTATGAATCCTTGCTTTGCATCTTTATAAACTTTTCCTTCTGTCTTTCCAGTCTTTTCTTTTAAATCTCCTTAGATAAGTCTATAGGATATAAATGACATTACATTCTTTATCGTGCATTGCTGTCTTCACTACAAAAATGCCCTACAGATAATTAATTCCATTGGCTCGTTTGCGCATCAATAGTGGGTCGTTTTGTCCAATCCTTTTTTAAGCTGGCTTAGTTTTTCTTGAATTATTTCTCGACTTGCACCTTGTGGCTAACTTAGTTGTTTCTTATGCGTTTGTTCTAGCTATGCATTTTTAAACAAAACCTCAAACTAAGGTATGAGCCTTTATTCATCTCATCCCATCACAATCTCTATATTTTTTATCTGCCCTTAATCATATTTTTTTTGCTTGTATAGGAACGATGTATAAATGCCTTTTTAAAAATTCGTCTTTGCTGATTAAGACAAAGAAGTGTGAACATATCGTAACGCCTCAGATATACCGATTCAACGGATATTTATTTATTTTTATGGACAGCTTAAATTCTTAAAGTCTCTGTTGAAAATTATTTTGAATTGAACTCGCACAGACAAAACTTATTTGGATTGTACGTTATCCCTCTGGATTTATTTTACATAGGAATATATCTTTTATTTTAGAATCATATCTTGTTTTCATGCGCCTCTCGATTTTATTTTTGCTTCATTACATTCTGATATCCATGCTATCTGTTTTTCGTTAAAAACAGCCTAGGTGGTCGTATTTATTTTTTTGCTTTTATTCAGAATTATCTTTTCTAATCAACACTGAATAATGCCCGCTTTTTTACAGAGTCCACTTCAAACGCCTTCCTGAGCTTTAACTCGAGAAGCCATAGAACCATTAACTTATTATTCATTAGTGGTCGTATTTCCGGAACGTGTCTATCTTACTTTTACTTCCTAAGTAAAGCAACCAGGAAATGTG